GTTGCCACTATTTATGAAATACCTGAGTCCACTAAAGCTTGGGAGTCATCCAACAGCTACTCCAATCTTTGTGTTCTTGCAAACACCACATTGATAATCTGTAATCACATTCATGTGCACTTATTACTCCACAAATCATTTTTTGAATGTCTGGACTTCTCGTAGCAACTTCATTTTGATTATCATATCAATTTACGAGTCATTTATCTCAACCTACTATTTTCAAGAAAAGAATTTGATCGGTGTTAGTTAAAATATTTAAGAAACTTCAACATTTAATCAATTGAAAAGGAAATAAATAATTTGTTAGCAAATTAAAGACCGCACTCAATCAATTTAAAAGCAAAACAAAGATTTTAAAATCAGTCTAATTACTTAGAGGTAGACAATAATTGCTTTATTTTTTGTAATGTAATTAAAATTATTTGATTAGATGATGCTTTAGATTTTAATTATTTTGCATCACTTTAAGTGTCATAACTATAACATGATTTTTTTTTAATTTTTTTTAATTATATTTGATGGTATTTAATTAAAAATAAACTTAAAAAAATATAGACATGGGCAATATATCCATTTAGATATATCAAACATATTTACAAGCATTAAATGATCTCCATCTCAGCCAACTATAATCTAGCCAAGTATTAAATTGAACATAAAATTATAATATATAATAAATTTTTTTAAATTTTTTTGCTACCATTTTACTATGTTTTTAAAGGAATTTTTCAGCAGGGCTTACTTTTTGCAATTAGAGCTCTGAACTATGTTAGTACAAGAGAAGTGCTTATTTAATATAGTGGGCTGACTATGAGGCCTATTTTTATGTAAATATTACGCTTGTTTCCGATTGAGGATGATGGGCCAGGCTTCAGTGCTTTTGGACAAGCTGAAATACATATAAATATGGTAAGAATTAAGCACATAATCATAATTTAACTTTGTTTGATGAAATTGCAGTTTCTCAGCTTTCAGCTGCAGCTGTGCTATCCCAGGAAGCTACTGCGAGAAAATTGTTGAGCGGTAGCTGGCTGTTTGTTTGTTGCAACTGTGTGAGAACAGCTGTGCGGCAGCTGTTTAGGTAAAAAAAAAGATCATTTTGCCATTGTTTCTAAAGCCAGTTCTTATAAATTTCAAATTTCTTTCACAAAGAAAGGTTACCAAAGGATTTCAACATGCCTTTACATTCTTATTATTCAATTCTTCATAAAAAGTTGCATACCTAACACCTAAATTTTATGTTAACAAAAGAAATCATCAAAAACATGTTATGTATATACATATACATAAGAAAATAAATTGACTAGTTTGTATGTAAATCTTTTAAATACCCTTAACCGAATATATGCATGTATCACTCACTACTTCTGCGATGTTTAATCACTAACAGTCGGCTCAGATTCACATTATGTATATGTTTGATTGAAAGATCACTAACTTAAATTCTATTTTCTACCTGCTTCAGATCAAGTTTCAGAAAGTAACATTCATAAGATCTTCAATACTTTTATTCACTGTGCATCTTCTTCTCATCCATTTAAATGCTAAATTTAAAAATAAGAAGAAAGGCAACAGATCAACTTAAAACAGAAGATTGTCGATCAGTCCAGGATTTGAGTCCAATCGGAAGACAGAGTCGATTGATGCTTACTAAACTGTTTCCAGAGAGTAATTGTAAGCTGAGAAATCCCCATGACATGACCAACATCAATAATAAGAACTAAGAAGGAACATGTTCGTCCATAGAGCAATTAGAACAGGGGGCGGGTTTCAAAAGAATGATTCACCTACCCTGCTAAAACCATTAGCAAGAGAAGAGTCGGAGCCGAAAAGGCTGGTAAGGGAAGCGAGAGCTGGAATGAATGAACCGAGACAGAAGACGACAAACAAAAAGAGAAGGAGGAGCTTCTAGATTCCTCGGCAGGCCATCGCCGGGGAAGGTGCTCACCTGCTGCTCGAACAGGGAGTTCTACGCTAGTTTGTTGGGCTAGACTAGCGAGACCGCCGGGTCGGTTCGTGTCTATGGCAGGTGAGCCGAGGGTAGCGGAGGGGGCAACGAATAAAAAACATAACCCTCGAACGCAGGCTGTGGGGTTGAACTCGCAGCCCGTGTTTAATTGAAAACCCCGGACGCGCGGCCTAACATCCCCCAAAACAAGCGAAAATCACAGCACGAAGTCGCACCGCGTAACGACAGCTCTCCCAAACGGACCCTTAGTCCTGACAATCCTCAAGCCCGTTTTTATAGTACCGATGATATAAATTTGAACTTGACTATAACCTGAAGATTCAAATTGTCTTGAAAAGCAATTATAATCAAAATATTTTTTTTATATATATTTTTACTTCATAAATAATTTTTTAAATTTAGAGGCCATCAAATATTTTTATTTAGTCATTTATTTTTTCTATTAAATATAGAACCAAATAGAAATTCTATAATATATATCTTTTTATTTCTAATTTTTTTGTAAGGGAGTAAGAAATAGCTTTTCTATCCAAAAGACAACAAATTAAAATATTTTTCATACAAATTCCTCACATGTTATTCGTTAGTAATAGGACAGAAGGGTCAACTGATAGCTCCTACCCTTCAAAAAATAAAAAAAAATACTCTTTTTAAGTTTCAAGTTTTAGAAAGTGAATACGCACCTGTCATGTAAAGGAAATGTACACGTACGTACATAAAAATTAAAATTTGGGTGCTAGATATGTAAATACATAGAAATTGAGTGGTATATTTGTAATTCCTATTACTTTACAGCATTTACAAGAATGTCTAAACTTTTTATTTAAATGCAAATATTCAAATCCTTAATATTACGCTAACAATATCGTTTTTTACTGCTTAAAACTAAAATATACATCTTTATAGATATGTTTATGATATAAAAATGTTATAAATATAAATATTAAGGTTTGGATGTAAATATATAGAAATTATCTGAAACGTAAGTAAATTTTTATATTTTAAGTTTGGGTCCACGTGCTCGTACAAAAGCCCATGTGCGGGGCCTGGATGCGAACGAAATTGAAATGTCAGCCAGGCTGCTCCTCTTAATTAGGATAAGTAGACAGCTTAGTCTTAGCCTCGCTGACAGTGACAGATCTACCGGCCACGTACCCACCATTTATTAGTATTATGTCCTTCAGATTTTTTAGGCTTCCCTCTATGACTGTTGAATTAGGAAGATTGAGCTGTGGAGAGGTTGATTAGGTGCGAATTTTGCACATATAGATGTGGTTATATTGGTTGTATCAATACAATAAAAATATAATAAAATTAGCATGTATTTTTTCTGCACCTAATAATTGCTTTAGTGCTTGTGAGAGTTATTCATTGGAATGAGGATCATAGGTCCTCTCTAACTTCCCTCCCTCATTTTCCTCATATTATAGGAGATTGATTTTCTTTATAAAATGAGCGGCCATCATTAAATTTAGATTTCAAAGAGATTTGTTTATTTTCTAGAGGAATATTATAAATAATAATATCCTGCTATGTCTTTACTTTGATATATTTTTCATATCAACCAATTTGAGAGTTCTCATGTGGGAAAAACTTTCGGTTTGGACTCGGACGTAACTCTACGTGCAGGCTCCAGTAATATATTGTCATGTGTGCTATATTGGCTCATTTAGGAAAATATTAAAGTAAAATTGCAGATGTTATTGGAGTGGAATGCGAAATTTATTTGGAAGGTTATTGAGAGATTATTGGAGTAATAACTCCATTAACACCACAAAAAACACTTCAATAACCTTCAATAACCTCTGAGGTTCCACTTCAATAATCCTTTGCAATAACACTCAAATGATCTCTAAATAACCTCTGAAGCTGCAATAAACCCTTAATAATCCCCCAATAACCCCCTGCAATAACCCCACAATAACCTCTGATGTTGCAATAACCTCTCAGTAACCACTCAATAACTCCCGCGGTTCCACTTTAATAATCCACTGTAATATCCCCTACAATAACTCCCAAATAAACCCCCAATAACCTCCGCGGTTCTACTTCAATAACCCGAAACAATAACCCCGCAATAATCCTGTAACAACCACCCGTAGTTCCTCTTCAATAACTCCTTACATTAATCCACGCAATAGCCCCGTAATAACTTTCACGATTTCACTTTAATAACTTCTCAATAACCTTCATGATGTAACACAAGTGGCGGCATATTACTAGAAGTCCGCACGCAGGGTTGCATCTAGACTTTGTTCTGTAGTTCTTCTAGATGAGTTCAACTGCTCTCCTAGACAAGTGAACAAGTGAACGAGTGGACGAGTTCAGCTGTTCTTCTAGATGAGTTAAAATATTTGGGCAAACTCAACTTCTTGGAGCTATTTGGTTGTTTGACCTAGTTTTAAGGGATATAAGGCATAGGGCAGATGAGGTTGATGTTAAGTTACAATAGAAATTTGTATTTTTCTCTTACTCTCAATCTTTTATGGTTACTTATAGCACAAATCATTCATCATTTTGCTTATTCGACTCTGCTTTTTTTAGCAGAGAAGCACCAAATTCAATTAAAGAGAAACAATCAATTTCAGCATTATCGGAATTAGGGATGACATCAAAGGAGACTTTTCACCCGCAAGATAGATTTATTTTATATATAGTAGTTATGACTTATGACCATTCAAAATTCATTTTTGCAAAGAAAATTAATGATCTAAACTTTAGAGTAATACTTACAAAATTATGTTCACAGTCAAAGATATGGTTTATTTATAATATTCCTTAATCATATATGATTCAATTAAAAAAAGAACTGATTATGCTTCCATCATTTATATTCATAATATATATACATATATATATAATTAATCTTACATTTATTCATGAAAACGAAGTGTAATATTTTACTGTTAGTAAGTCATACTTTACTGCATGATTGCAGCCATATGTCACCATCTAAATCTCCAAATGTCATACGACTGAAGAATAATATCTCCTCTCTTCCTTCTCTTTTCTTAAAAGAGAAGAAAATCTTATAAATCCATAGAAATAAATCTCCTTTCTTTCTTCCCCAAACCAACAGAAGTAGAATATATGGCTTCAGCAAAATTCTCGAGCTTCTTTTTCTTCCTTCTGTGCCTTTCCTTCTTCTGCTTGGAGAGATGCAGATCACAAGCTCCTGCTGCAAAGACTGATCCTGTCGACGGTATGCTGCTTTAATCATCTGCATAACTATATAAATATATATATACATATATATAGTATCGAATTGGTAAATATATACAGCTTCTGTTTATGTAATAATACGACTATATATCATTAATTCATAGACATCAAACAATGCTTGATGAAGAGGGATTGAAGCTATGAGGATTGAGGATGGTCGGCTTCATCATTCTCCTTCATGAGAGGAGACTTTACGGCTAATGATTATTAGTAATTGTTAGACAATCGTTAGTGAGAAACATTAGAAAACTGGCAAGTATTTTACATGTTAGGAAGGGAGATGTAGCAACTGGTAAGACATTCATCAAACATCAATTAGTTTTTCGTTGTGAGATGAACATTGATTAGGTTATGGCTAAGCAATACTAGACATTGCTTACTAACAAGCATCACACAATTATTGATGGAAAATGTAGATTAGAAGTAAGCAATAATGGGTTAGTGGTTTTATCATTTTCTGATAAGACCAAATATTTGACAATTACAAAATGTATGAAAATATGTCATAATGAAATCATAATATATATGCATGAAAATGTATGTTTCATTTTTTTTTAAATAATATTAATAATTTTCATGTTGGGTGCTATGTATATAAATGCATAAGAATTTTATTGTATATATGTGAATTTATTTAAATTATTTTGAGTTGAGAAAATAGAGTCTGACTTATAAATTGTATAAATAATATTATTAATGTAGTATTTCTTCTTTGGTTGGGCAGCTTGCGTCAGAGCAGGCCGTCGAGTTAGACAGTTGACCATACTAAACTTCCTTTAAATTATCTAAACTCCAATTTACTTATTTTTAAACATTTACATACATAGCACCCAATTTATATGTATTTACTTGTCAGACACCTAAATTTTTTTTTTTTAACATATATTCATCTATTTTTTCACATCACTCAAAAATAATATCGTTTTAATTTAAAAAAAGTGAAATACATTCATGCATAGATAAAATAACAAATATGTAAAAATTTAAATTTAAAAATTGTATATATATATATATATATATATAATATTAAGTGATTTTACATACATTGTAAGTAATTCTTATGTATCTACATACTTTACCCAACGAATGATTCGTACTGAGATGCAATTAACTAATGATGTGGAAGTGGCGTGGCAGCACGAGCGGTGAACGCGATAATGGGTAGGTGGGGGAAGAGGGCGTCATCGTTGTGGAACATCAGTGGGGAGCTGTGCAGCGGGATCGCCATTGACTCAACTAATTTCGGCGATTTCAATCCCGCCATTAAGTGCGATTGCTCCTTTCTTGACGGCACTCTCTGCCACGTTACCCAATTGTAAGCACCCCCTAAGCTCTCTTTCATCAATAATTTATATCAAGTTTACTACAAATCAATCATAAACATGAGCGTGGATTATATAGAAAATTTTTTATAATTTATAATTTTCAATTAAAATTGCTTAATTTAAACAGAATATTCTTAATTAATTTTGTTTTTAGTTTTGTTTTTCGACACATAAAATCATTTATTAAATGTTTTTTCTATACATATAATAAATAATGTTAATAATCAAAATATTACTAATGTTTTAAGGAAATAAATTAAATAATAAATACGTATAACATGGTTTTAAAGATCGATTAGATCAGCTACAAGGGCAAAACCAAGCTACGTCTTGGGTGAGCAATTACATTTCACTGGAATTTGTAATTTCCCTATTTCTACATTGCAAATGTGTCTGATCATAAGTAGATTTGACGGTTCAGAAGAAAAGGGTAGTTCAAAGGAGAGCCTACTAATATAAAATTATGAGCCTACTTATTCAACCGAATGCAACCATCTGAGTCAAAACCAAAACAGATTAAGCCACAGGGTAGAAAAAAATACGACTGAATGATTTGAATTCAATTCGTTCTTTAAAAAACAAAGCAAGTAGATATCCGAGCCAACTATTACAAGAAAGACAACCCAACACAGTCACCTATCTTTCGACATATCTGACCTGACAAAGATCCAGTTCCATGATATCACCAACTATCTCACCTACGCCCCTGTGGCTCTTCATCAAAGATCAATATTTAACAATACAACAAAAAGTCTTATGGTCATCCCTCGTTCTCCCCATTGATGAACAAGCTACCTATCGGGTTATTGTGACTCGCCCTCTACCCGATAATCTTGTGCCGCTCTGCTGACAGGAGTGCCTCACCCAGGATCAAGGGTCGATAACCAATCTATATCAGCGAATTCACAACCCCTAACCTTACCGAACCAGTCTTGTTGCACCAATCCATTCGAGTTCAACAAACTCAACAACGTCGACCGAAACGACCCTAACGAGCCCAAGAAAAAGTAGCTGAGCGATAGTTTCACACCTATAAAATGCCTAGAATACATTGTATAACCCCAATTACAGATAAAATTATAATATCATATTGTACTTTCTCCCTAATAAATATAAATATGACATCATTTTCTGTACAAAACAAGGTAGATACATCTAATTTTAGCCAAAAAGGTTGCGAAAAAATAAACACAATTAATTCAATTTACTGTTCATCTACTGTTCACTATTCTCTCTCTCTCTCTCGTTCCTTACGATCTATTCCTTAGTGTGATTTACAAACAAATCAAGATTCAACACTGTATTAATAATAAAATTTAATATTTTTTTCTTATATAGTTTAAAATAATCTATTATACATCTACTATTTACTCTTCTCTCTGCTCTCTATCGCTCTTTCTACTTTCACACGATCTATTCCCTCAGGTGTGATTTATCTCATGATTTACGGGCAAATTATGATTCAATACTAATACTTCTTCTGCACAATACTTTAAAAAATTAGGCATTTGATGACTTTACCAACCCTAAAATATAATCCTTGTTCTGTCTCTAAATTCAGCTTGGTTTAACTGCGAGTAAGCCCACTCGACTTATTTACTCCAAGTCTAATTTTTTTCTTTTTTCTTTTAACGATGAAGGATTAAGAAATAACCAGAATTAGCAGTAAGTTAAGGAATTAGTGTTTGAATCCTATTCTTGATGAACCATTAAACATTAATATTGTTTAATTATGATATTTAAATTTTAATCAAATGATTATTAATTATAAAAATAACTAAAAATTACACCTCAAAATTCTAATTCAAAATATTTTACATCAAATTAGTAATAAAATAAAATTATTACATCTTTATTATTCTTTTCAAAATGTTCATAAAATTTAAACATCTATTTTAATCCTTTACACAGCAAGGTGTTTGAGCTGGATGCAATTGGCACATTCCCTGAGGAGCTCAGCAACCTCACTTATCTTTGGAATCTGTACGTCATCTCCTTTCCTTTTTCATCCTCACAATTATAATTTTAGGGCCCGTTTGGGGCAACTTATCTGGTGCGGTGGTGTTTTAAAAACACACCTGAACTATTTGGGTGAACTATATTTTGGCAGCTTATGTGTTACCTCACCCATCTGGGTGCGGTGACAGCTTTCTGACAACGGTCTGACTTTTCCAAAAAAAATAAAAATTTGTAATAGCCACCGCCCCTAACTTATCGGCAGATTCTTTTTAATGAGCTTATCAGCATATTATCCATAAGCTGCAACTGCCCCAAACAGACTCTTAGTTACGTAAAATATGCAATTAAATTTTTCATTACTATAAATTGTAATCTTGAAAGAAATATAGTTATATTAATTTTAAAATAAATTAAAATATATATAGAATACATATTCTTTACCAAAATTTAAAATAAAATAAGTACATTTGCCATGACATGTGTTTTTTTCAATAAGAGTTACTGATTGCTTTCTGTAGAGATATAGGCCGGAACTACTTGACAGGGCCATTGCCTGCCTTTATAGGAAACTTGTCCTCACTGCTATACCTGTAAGCCAGCAAGTCGGTTCATCTAATCTTTATTTTACATTGAGTTGTTTAGAAATTTACATACATACCACCTAATTCTGATGTATTTCTAACGCCTATAATTTAAATATTATAACATTTTGTTTTGTCATAACTTATGCATGAAAATATGTGCTTCGTATTGATTAGGTGGTAGATATGTAAATACATGAGAATTGTGTGTTATGATTGTAAATGAAAGGAGCTATACCCTTATTTCTTGATTTTCCTGATGGTTATTAATTTTATTATATAAAAAAAAAAACTGTAAATAGGAATTTTGGAACCAACGCGTTGTCTGGACCGATTCCTAAAGAGCTCGGGAATCTAAAAAAGCTCATTTCACTGTAAGAATTCTTATTTTTTACGTTTTTGTTAGATGTTTTGCTTCTAATTTCTTCTGATCTTTCATTGTATGTAATTGTTGCTGCAGAGGCATGGGGCCGAACAACTTCCATGGCACCATTCCACCAGAGCTTGGCGGCCTCAGCAGCTTACAACAATGGTTAAATCATCATAACTTTATAGTACAACTTCCAATAAACGGAATCAAATAAAATATTAAGTCCTCATTTTCCTAAGTTTTTATATGACTTTAGTGATCAATTCTCAGGTACACGGATAGCAGCGGACTAAGTGGTGATCTCCCAACTTCTCTATCCAAACTTACAAACTTGCAGACTGTGTAAGTTTAATCTCCTCTGAAAACTTGGGTTTATTATAGGCAATCTGCTTCTCATCTTGTGACAGTAATTGATTCAGGTGGCTATCGGACAATAATTTTACAGGCAGAGTTCCAGACTTCATTGCAACTTGGAAAAACCTAAACGTCCTGTAAGATTCTTATCCTTTACAGCTCCATATATACATGTGTGTAAGATTTAATTAATACTGAATCTTGTTTTGATAGGAGGATGCAAGGGAACTCTTTCAGTGGTCCAATTCCTTCAAGCTTTGCCAGTCTCACCAATCTTACTGACTTGTAAGTAATCCCCATTTTTACAAAGTACTGTAAAATTCACTGATTTTATAATGATACTGTATGCTCTATTCCCAGACGAATAGGAGACTTGAAAGATGGGAGTTCTTCACTGGCATTCATTAGTAATATGACATCTCTAAACACACTGTAAGGCTTGTGGTTTCCAATCAACAATCTCTTATTACTATTGTTAATTGTTTTTATCATATAACTATGACATTGTATGATTTAACTCCATGCAGGATCTTAAGAAATGCCATGATTTCTGATTCTCTTCCATCAAACTTTGCAAAATATACAAATTTAATGAAATTGTAGGTTTTTTTTTTCTTTTTTTATAAAATAAAATGACTACTTTGATAAAAATTGAGTTTTTTTTTTTTTATCTTATAAAGATCTTATAAAGGGATTTGAGTTGGATTTGAGTTTCAACAACATTACAGGCAATGTTCTGCCGTCTCTTCTCAACTTGAACTCTCTGAACATATTGTAAGAAATGCCTGCTTGCTTCAGTGTCAGAAACTTTTCGCTTAATTTCTTCATTGGTACAAGAATAATTTATGTTTTCTTCCCTTATTTCCATCAACAGATTCCTTGGAAACAACAGCATAACAGGCATCTTACCGGGAACAAAGAGCACAACACTTAAGACTATGTAATTATGCAAGTCACTCAGTACATAATTAATTCATAAACAAAATCTAATTTATATCCAGCCCACTATATTAGCTTAGAATTTTATTTTAGCAGTGAAAAATCTAGAAATTTTATGCTTTTGATGAAATGTTAAGAGGCCATTTGGGATCACTTTCGATTTTTGTTTTTTTGTCTTTTTGTTCTTGTTTTTTCTATGTTTTAATTTAAAACAAACATATTTGGTATGGTGTACATATCATGTTTAGTTGTTTCTAAAAACAATCAAAATAACATTTTAAATTTTTGAGTATTTTTAAAAATAAACTAATTTATTAAAAAAAAAAAATAAAAAAATAAAAAAATTTCATTAAACAAACAAGTATTTAAAATAAAAGCAAAAACCAAAATAAAAGGCAAAAAACAAAAGTGATCCTAAACAAGGCCTGACATTTTCTACTAATTATCAGTTTCATCTAACTCTCTGCAGAGATCTATCATATAATCAACTATCAGGAAGCTTTCCATCCTGGGTCAGCGAACCAGACTTGAAGCTGTAAGTCAAATTCTATTTTGTTATTTAGTAATTTCATTATTCTATTAACCATGAATGCCCAGCAATAACATTACACTAGTTCATCTCTTTATGTGCTAACGGATATCTCAATTTAGGTGGGAATTCCATAGCTTATATAGTTTTTTATTTTTATTTTTATATAATACTAGTTGCGTTAACAGCTCTAAGGGGTTATTTGGATCACTTTTGATTTTTTTTTAATTTATATTTTATTTTGTTTACGTATTGATTTAAAACAAAACATCTCTAGTGTGATATACATGTTTAGTTATTTTAAAAACATTCAAAATAACTTTTAGATGTTTTGAATGGTTTCAAATCAAGCTAATTTATTTTTGAAAATGAGAACATGCTATAAATATACTAAAAAATATATATATTATTGTAAGAAAATAAATAAATAAAAGTGATATGCAACAAACCCTGAGGGGCCATTTGCTCCAAGGGGTCACATTTGGAATCACTTTTGTTTTAATTGCCTTTTTTATGTATTAATTTGAAAACAAAATTAATTTCTATCTGATTACAGCAAAGTTGTTTTTAAAAATAATCAAAATACCTAAAAGTTGTTTTGAGTGTTTTTAAAAGCATGTTAATTTGTTTTTAGAAAAAAAAATACAGTAAAAAATATACTAAACAAATGTGTTAAAAAAAAAAAAATGATCCCAAACAAGACTTTAGCTTTCAGTAACTATCAAAATAAAAAATTAATGACAAATTTTCTTCCACAAAAAATGGACATACAAGTTCAATTGTGTATTTAATTTAATGGAAAGGTTTTGATCTGTATAGAAAACATAGAAAGAGGGCTAATAACTATAGCATTGCACTAATTGTATTTTAAAAAATTAAGCTGCCATTTTATGCACTGAATAGTTTATAAGTTGTATAATAATAAGTTCATTGCTTGTGTTATAAAGTAGAGAGAATCGTAAAGAAATGCATTTTTACCATCTTCCCGTCTTAGTTCAAGCACTTGTTCCTTTAAAGATGCAAGAGGAGAAAAATAAAAAAAATATACAATAAAGATTAATATTCCTCAATTATGAAGATATATAATAATAAGCACTGCAAATTCCTAAAAATTTAATGTGGCACAGAAAATATGAGCTTGCCTGTGGAGATAATAATGATCACTGATGAAATAGTCAAGACGAATGCGAACTATAGGTGAGTAGAGAGTGGTGTTAATCAGATGAAAAGAAACTGCAATGTGGTCAGTGTTCAAGGAGGATTATAAAATCCTTAAACGAATGTATTGATAAATAGTATTGATGGAGTTTAAAATGTAGAGCATCAAAAAAGAATAGGAAGATTTACATTCATACCACACACCGTATTTATATATCTAACACCTAAAACTTCAATTTTTACGTACATACCACTTCATCTATGCATGATACGGTCGGTGTATTTCATATTTTGAAAGTTGAAATCGTGTCATTTTTTATTTGATAATAAATATTTGGTTGGTATAAATGCAAAAAGTAAAGTTTAGGTGTTAGATATGTAATATATAGGTATTGGGTGGTATGTAAATGCCCCAAAGGATTATTGTTGTCAACAAGCCAACATAGAAACGATAAATTTAATTGGCATTATTACCAATGAAGAACTCAGTAGTTCATAGGGATGAACTCATCTTTGAAGGGGAAAAGAAAAAAACTTATCTATGAGAAGTAAAGGAGGCCAAGTGCTCTAATTGTTGACAATGAAGATCGAAAACTTGAGAAGAGGTCAAACTAAGGGAAGGAAGAGGGATGAGTAGGTTTACATTGTAATATGCATTACAATTTAGTTTCAAGGCAACCAATCTAAAGTCATAGTTCTGATACCAAATTAGAAGAGAGGGAAAAAAGTGTCCAAATAGTCACCGAAGTCTTTATAGGGGTTCATTTTAATCCCAGAGTTTATAAAAATATCAATTCAATACCAAACTATTAATGTAGGCTGAAAAAGTCATAGCGAGGACTATTTTAGCCTCACTTAAGAGTATGAGAAGAAATTTGACATTTGTATAGACTTTGCAACTAAAATGACCCCATATAAATAGTCAAAAAGCTATATATACATATATATACATATATATATATATATATATATATATATATATAAGCAAAAGAAAAGAACCATAAAAAACTTCATAATAATGGAGGATATCCTTGATAATGAGGAAATATAACACAATAAAAAATAAAAAATCCCACTATGAATAATTAGCATATATGATAATTTAATCCAACATTTCCTAAATCTTTCCTATAGCAGTTTTTCGGTTTCATTTCAAATAAATAGAAAACAAAAATTTAGAGGGTTTTTTTTTTCATGATGATAGGAACTTGGTCGCCAACAATTTTTTCCTGGACAATTCTAATAACAGGTAACTCCTCTTGTGCACTGTCATCTGTGAAGCCTGAATTTGATTTAGATTCAGACCTGAAACTCGAAATTTTAACTATAATTTCACTTCCAGTGTCTTACCTTCAGGATTGGAGTGTCTTCAAAGAGACTTACCATGCTTCCACGGCTCACCAGTATGTAAGTCATCCTTCATATTTTCGTGCATTTTTGTCCTCATGAACAACAAACATATTGTAGAAAACAATCTATTAAGTATTTTTAAACTAGCAGATTCTCAGTTTGGAATAAAGTGTGGTGGAAGTGCAAGCTTGACAAGTTCTGATGGAACTAATTATGAGAAGGATAATGCTAATCTCAGTACAGCATCTTATTTTGTGACTGATCCTTACAAATGGGCAGTAAGCAACACTGGAAGCTTTGCAGGTGCCTCAAATCCTGATACAAATAATATAATTAGTTCTCAGACCATATCACAGAACACACTGGATTCAGAGCTGTTTCAGACTGCAAGGATGTCACCTTCCTCATTAAGATATTATGGTTTGGGGCTTGAAAATGGAAACTATACAATAAAACTACAGTTTTCTGAGATTGGATTAGTAGATCCACCAACTTGGAAGAGCTTAGGAAGAAGGGTTTTTGACATTTATATACAGGTAAATCATTATCTTCGAGTACTGTTAGATTTATATTTTTTAAGTCGGGGGGTGGGTATATATTGAAACTTGTGCACATGAAACCAGAATATAGCAACATTACAATTAATTGAGTATTTTAGTTAATTTTCTTGTTGTCAAGTTGTTAACATCATATCTAATATATAATTTCAGGGAATGCTCAAGGAGAAGGACTTCGATATAAGAAAGGAAGCTGGAGGGAAATCTTTTAAAGTAGTATTGAAGCAATACCAAGCTCCTGTAACAAACAACGTCCTAGAAATACATTTATTTTGGGCAGGAAAGGGTACAAGTTTTATTCCTAGTCAAGGTTACTATGGTCCATCCATTTCCGCAATCAGCGTATCTCCTTATGGTATGAATTTTCATATGATCTAGTAGGTGAAATTTCCTTATGAACCCCAAAGCTATCTTACTATTATCTAAGTTTACAGATTTCACCCCGTCTGTCAGCAACAAAGCCCCAAATTCCTCTTCATCAAGTAACAAAACAGGCTTAGTAGTAGGGATTGTAGTTGGTGTTGTTGCACTGGGACTCGTCATTTTTGCAATATTAGTGTGTAGACATAAGCAAAAAAAACTTAAGAAAGATGAAGAAGGTAAGTTTCTTAAAGGATTATGGAAAATTTTCAGTCTGTATAAAAAATTGTTTATATTTTCATTTTTGAAGTTGCCTAAGTTAATTCTGATTCTCAATATGCCAAAAAATACAGAGTTGTTAGGAATGAGTATCAGACCAAACACATTCAGCTATGCTGAATTGAGAACAGCCACTGAGGATTTCAACCAGTCGAATTTTCTAGGCGAGGGAGGATTTGGGCCTGTGTACAAGGTTTGCTTTTTCCTACATTTGAAAACATTAAATTTTATTTTAACCAAAAGTTTACCTTAAAATAGTCTATTTTTACTACCTTTTTAATCTTCTCTAGAAGTATAATGGAAGTATATAGTGCACTTCTTACTCAAAGCTATATAATCACAATATCAATGCTAATCAACTAATTTGGTACAAATAACTTATAACCCTCGTAGAAAATGTAGTAAAAAGTGTTAACTTGCTTCATCCAAAGGGTAAACTAAATGATGGAAGAATGGTGGCTGTGAAGCAACTCTCAGTCGCATCTCACCAAGGGAAGATTCAATTCATGGCAGAAATAGCAACTATATCAGCAGTCCAACACCGTAATCTCGTTAAGTTGTATGGTTGCTGCATTGAGGGAGACAAGAGGCTGTTGGTTTATGAGTATTTGGAAAATAAGAGCTTGGATAAAGCTATTTTCGGTATGTTCTAACATAACCAGAAGCTCATAGCAGAAGCTTCAAGTATTCCTGCATCTCATTGGTCTCATTTTGCAGGAAAAAGCGGTTTGCAACTTGATTGGGAAACACGCTTTGAGATTTGTGTGGGAGCAGCAAGAGGTTTAGCTTATCTTCACGAGGATTCGAGTGTGAGAATTGTTCACAGGGATGTTAAATCCAGCAACATTCTATTAGATAGTAATCTTAATCCAAAGATATCAGATTTTGGTTTGGCTAAGCTTTATGATGACAAGAAGACTCACATCAGCACTAGAGTTGCAGGCACGATGTGCGTGGAGATATCATTTTTTACAAATTTTTCTAACAATATTTAGTTTCAGCAACATTTCTAATTCATTGTTGTGATATTTGCAGAGGTTATCTTGCACCTGAATATGCTATGAGAGGGCATCTAACCGAGAAGGCTGATGTGTTTGGTTTTGGAGTTGTCGCTCTTGAAATTGTTAGCGGTAGGCCTAATTCAGATCCCACCCTTGAGGATGAGAAAGTCTACTTGCTTGATTGGGTAGGCAACGATTTCTGCAATTGATCATTTCCTCTATAAATTAAGAACCAATCAAAAATGTATGCTATTCGATCTAGATAAACACAGATTCAATGACGAGTTAATTCATAAAAATACCAAGAAATTGAAGATTAAGATAGACGCCTTCACAAACACTAAGAAGGAAAACCCTAATTTCAATAACTGAAGGAAATTGTAACACACCCTAAACATGACACAAAATCAGTACCTTACATGATCTTCTTGATTCTTATATTTCAGGCTTGGCGTTTATACGAACAGAAGCATGAACTGGAGTTGGTGGATTCCAGTCTATCGTCATACAATAGAGATGAAGCCACCCGAGTGATCGGCGTTGCTCTTCAATGCATCCAGGCATCGCCGGCATTACGGCCGCCGATGTCGAGAGTGGTGGGTATGGGCCGGAGATATCGAGGTTAACGAGGTCACCACAAGGCCGAGCTATCTAACAGAATGGCAGTTCAAGGATATAAGCAGCAATTTTGCAGATAACGAATCTTCGAGATCAACAGATACAAGAGCAACAAATAGCCGAGGTTTTGAGTCATCAGATCCGAACACTGTAATTAATTTAGAAAGTAATCCTTCAAATGATGCGCCTTTAAGGCACAACGGCTCCATTGGAGAAGGAAGGTGATCTTTGTTTCTCCATGGGAAATCAATATTCATCATTTACTGCAATGATGATGAGATTGTTGAAAAAATAGTGGAAGAAGTCCATTTTTTTTTTCTTAACTTTAATTCAATCATACATCTTAAATTGAAGAATCGCGATGATTTGTAAGATTTTTTTTTTTTTTTTATGAAATATTAAGTACATATTCTTTTTTTTTATGGTGCTGAATGTTTGTGTTTGAGCTTCATTATAAACTGAAAATTTGGGTTGTTTTAAAATGCAAATAAAATCAAAATCTTTTATTTCATATTCTTTTATATCATAAATAAAATCTTTTAAAAGATCAAAGATATCATATATTGATTTTTTGGCATTTATTTTTTTTCTTAAGATTTAGGGAGCTATTCATGATATTTTAGATTATATTTTAGAGTTTTTAATGTCAAAAAAAAAAAAAAAATCCTATTGAATCAAAAAAAATATCACAACTTACACACACACACACACACCAATCACCTGCGGCCACGACACCAAACGCATCATCAGCAGGCGACATGGCCGTCGGTGGTTGGCCGTCCAGACGTCCGGACGAAATATTTTCTCCACACACATACATATTAGGTGCTATAATTCCTCTTTTTATAGGAAGAGAAATTTAAGTTTGCTTACTTCTTACTAAGATCTAACACATATACACATATAAATGATAATTGCAAGAGAGATTAAAATTTGTAGGTGAAAATTTTAGTAAAAATGTATCATGAAACCCAACCTAGCTAAAATGTTCCACTATATAAATATCTGACAAACTTTTTTTTTTCTAAATTAAAGATGTAATTACAAAATTGGGAATATCGATTTGATCTCATGTATTATAGTAGAGATGTTTAGGCAGTAATGGAAGGTTAAAAAGGAGTAATAGTGATGATGGTTAGACAATGACATGCACGTGACGATGGTTATATAAAATTGTTCAAGCGATGACAATAAGATGATAATGATCAAGTAATAGTAATTGGGCTACCATAGCCAAACTATATTGGTCAGATAATGGTGGCCAAGTAATTACAATCCAACAATGATGATTAAGTGATAGTATTCAAGCATGAAAATTGAGACAAATGTCAATTGTTGTTGGCAATCAACATCATGCATCGAACAAGATTCTAGAGTTCTTTAAATCTATAAGCTCTATCCTCATTTAGACGTAGATTTATGTCTTCTCATGTGATGAATGAGGATTTTCTTATAATTTTTTAGAGTGGTATTTTACTAATTCTAACAATATTATTTAAAAGACTTCATTAGATGACGTATTAATTATCATGATCATCGTAAATTTCTTTAATATTTAGGTTCCTAAATGACTTCAAACTAGAGTGATCTTATGCTTTCTAGATTTATTTCATTAAGATGTTCATTTTGAATATAGTTATACAATATTATAATTAATGTCATAAAATTTTAAACTATACCTAAAGTACTTGATTTGAGCGCATTAGGTCTTCGATCAAAATACTATCATAATATTCTACTCTTCTCCTAAAATAAGATTTATACTTTCTTACATAGAAGTCATGTAGTTTCCATTCCATGAGCTTTGATATCCCTATTTAAAGCGGTCTAGTACTATCTTATAAGGTGCTATAATCTACAAGTGGTTTGATATTCCATGAGCTTTGGTGTTTAAATTCATTAAAGTCTATATATAAATTGATTAAAACCCAAAATTACAATTAACTCATGCATATTCATCTTGATTTGCTCAAGATCTGTGGGAAGAGACAACCCAAGACTTCTACTCTAATTCATTAGACATTATTAGGGGTGTAAACGAGCCGAACACGAGCGATCTCGTGTTGGGCTTGTTTATATTTCGAGCTCAAAAAGTGTGTTCGTGTTCTGCTCGTTTAGTCAGCGAGCCGAACACGAGCCGTTCACGAAAAAAAAAGCCGTTTTGGTAACCCTAATCACGTAGCCATAAGATGTTAAAGATTGGAGCAAGATTGAAAAATAATTATTTATATTAAAATATAATTTGAATCTAATTTAATAATTTTTATTCTATTTTCTTAATTAGTACATTTAATTAATTATAAATATGTATAGCCTTATAGTCAATTAAATTTTATAAAAATACTACTCATCAATGTATGCATATATATATATATACATATATATATATAATATATATATAATTGATGGGTAGTATTTCGAGCCAAAACGAGCCGAACATGAAAAAATAAATATTTGTTCGTGTTTGACTGGTTAACTTAGCGAACGAACCAAACACAAGCTGTTCGCGAACAACGAGCCATTTTGACAGCCCTAGACATTATGACCATTGAGCATCTAATATTGTTAGATTGAGATGGTTGGCATACCCAGAATAATAGAACAATGAGATCTTAATCGGGTTTACCTCAATCCTCTCAAACATTTTTTTATTAATATATGCAATATTTAAAACATTCAGTTTCACATTAAAAAATATATAAGCGGGGTGGTGTAATTAATTGTGTGCGTGTACTGAGAGCAATTTTAGACCCTGCATCTAAATAAGCTCTAATATTAAGGTTAATGGAAATCTGATTAAAGTAAATTTAATCTACCTCATGAAAAATATATGTTAAGTCATCTTGGCTTGGTGAGGTGATCGAGAGGTTTGTCTTTCAATCAAGAGGTCATAGGATTAAAGCTTTGCTTGTGTGGTGTGTGTGTTCTTGTCGCCGTGTAGGAAAAATAAAGTATCTCATGAAGAATAAAATCCTTATTTTACAAATTGAGTTCGACCATTTTTTAGTGATTATATATCATTAGGGTTGGTACCTTATATTGAGCTAGAGTTAGCTGGTAGGCTAATCTTCATAAACCATAGAGTTAACTAACTTATGACGCTATGAGTACGACCTAAGTGTGTGTGCTAAGCTTTTATTTTTTATTTTTTATTTTTTTTAAGGGAAAGACTGAAGGTTATTAGACGAGTCCCGAGCATTCCTAGGTGTGCTAAATATTCGAGTATCATACCCAACACATGGAGGGATGTGAATCCGTAATCTGAGGGGACTTGTGATTTTTGGAGAGGCTACTCTATCAACAGCCCACAGTACAGGCACAAGTGTGTGTACTGCGTATAATTTATGCGGAATAATAGATTAATGAATATTATGCTCAACATGGTATATTAGGCTTTACTTATATAATTAAAGTTAAACTTAACATACCAAGTCAAAAGATTAATCGATAGGGATTCTAGATATAGTCTGTGTATAACAAATGCAATATAAAAATAATTATAAATCTTAAGGGATAATTACATACGGACCATCCAAATCATTGATATTTACAAATTAACACCCAAGTGATTTTTTGTACTACTAAATCGTTGTTTTTATGTGTCACAATCAAACTATTGAGAATTTGATAAAAATAAAAAACATAGGTTGGGGTTTTACACAAAATTTGATATTTCGGTAAGAACTTGAAAAATGAATGAGAATGAGCGGTTGATTCGTACATATGAAGTATCGGGTGGTCTGTATGTAACGAAAAATTATTACGTTCGCCGTGCGAACGTCGAGCTGCGTCCGGGCGACGGCCGTTATGCAGTTAAGTCTTTTTTACAGAGGATACAAATAAATAAAATTAAAAGGCATAATTATTCATAATTAAACAAAAACTATAAATAAAACAAATACCTCATGACTATAACACGCACTGTTGACATTGAAATCGAACAAGTAATAGATATCTTCTTACCACCTCCATCACCTGTCATTATTACTATAAAATTTACTGTACGTGTGCTTTATGATCGCATAATTTCTACTTGAGGGAAAGAGTTGACTTAAGAAGTCTTCATTTGTAGGTGAATTATCTTAACTGATCAGAACATCTGAGTCTTTTCATTATTGGATTTTTATCATGAGAACACATCTCTCTTATATGTACGTTTTAGGATAAATAATTTATTTTATCCTGAAACGTGGCCCACGGGTTGACTGTAGGTTTTGACCTGTGACCTGTGTTTAGTGTAAAAATGGAACCGTGTTTTTGGATAAGCAGACAAAACTCGCGAAACAAACGGTACCGCAACATTTTTAAAAACACCTCCGCATTTATAAGCTGCTCAAACGGGCATGTTGATCTAGTGCAATACAAAGGTATAAAGTCCTTACCCTACAATCATAAATTATCCAACACATACCATTCATGAAATAATAATGGCTGAGATAACTACCTTTTTGAAACAAACAAAAAATTATATTATTGAATATTTATAAGTATCTTAATGCTCAATATAAATCATGTTATTATTATAAATTAAGGTATTGGGCATTCCTTATTTGTTCTCATTTTTTTAAGTGACATTTACATGCATACCATCTAATTCCTATGTATTTATGTACCCAACAATTAAACTTTATTAAATTTAAATCATCAAAATTTTATTTAAAATAACAGTAATAAATTTATTTAAAAATTAATTTGTCATAATTTATATATCCAAAATGTTATTTAAATTTATACCGCTGAATTAAAATTAATCATTAATACTAAATATTTTTAATCAATATTTTAATTTAAATTAAATATTATAATTTAAATAATTATTGACTTTATGTTTAATTGCTAATACAAAAAGTACAAATATATAAGAGATTAATTTAATAATATGATTTCAATTAAATTAATACGAATCATAACTTTTCAAACCATAAATTTTAATATCGTGATATAAAATTTAAACAGCACAGTTCGGATATATAAATTATGATTAATTACTTCTAAAAAGATTATTACTATTATTTTACATAATATTTCACTGCTATAAATTTAATTGAATTTAATTGCTGGATAAGTAGGTACATATTAAATGGTATGTACAAAAAGGTCACGTCGGCACACGGTCGACCGACGTGGCGATTGTGTCGAGTTACAAATTTTATTTTTCAAAACAGTAATGAAAGCGATTGAATAATATTATTTTTTCAAGTTATAATTTTTTTTTAATTATATTTTACGATAAAAAATAAAACTGCTAACAACTTTAGAACTTCACAAAAATGTGTCACTGATTGTAGAAAAATTTACTTACGTAAGACGTTTGTAGAGCTGCGTACATTGGAGATTATTCAGAGGTTATTGGGGGGTTATAAGTAGGTTACATAGATGATATAAGAGGATATAACGAGAATATAACGTCCCAATAATCTCTAAATAACTTCTGATGTACGTAACTTTACAGACGTCTTGAGTAGACAAATTTTTCTCCACTGATTGTGATATCGGTTGAGCTGATTCGACTGAAAGCTCAACAGAGGAAAATATCCGCATAATTCCATGATTTGGGCCACCAATTAATATGATGTTGAAAATTCTGCGTTGAATAGTCTTATATATTTGAAAGGGGAGAAAAATAAGGTCCAATATTTTGACGAAAAAAAATGTTAATTAAGATATTTTTTGACATAATTAACTTTAATTAAGAAAGAATAAAACATATAAATTTTGAATTAAGTTAATTAATGACATAATCTATATGATTATTTTAACGTTTTGCACATTTATAAAAGTTTCAAAATATGTAACGGTGTTTAAGTCCGAGGTTAATGTATCTTGACCTTTTCCTTTATTTTATTTTCAGTCCCGTCACATCAAGAATATTTAATGGAAAAATTTGGGAAGGATAACTTAAGCTAATATTTATTAAATTTAGTTTAATATCCATATAATACAAATTGTTAATTACCTCACCCTCAACAATTTAACATTTAATATTTTGCCCCTCTGCATGCGGTGTCCGATCTACACAGTAGATCACGGTGATCTACGGTGAGGATGCAATCAAATTGTTTTTGTTTTAAAAAAAATAAAAAAATTTAAAATGAGACCCACCGAAATACATACAGTAGATCACCATGATCTACAGTGTACATCAGACACCGCATGCATCTCTGCATGCGGTGTCCGTATGCAATAATTTTTTCCAATTTTGAGCCTATAGAGACAGTTCTCCCCTCTTCAAATAAGAGGTTGGTTCTGCCCCAACTCAAAATAAATTTAATCATTTTAAAATTTCGTATTAATTAAAAGAGGTTTTTATGTACATATCACACAATTCATATGTATTTACATATTTAATAGCTAAATTTGGAAAATTTTTTTAAACCACCTAATTTTTTTATATCACCTAAAAATATCATTAATTAAAATTTTCTTTTTTAAAAATACACCTTTTATGCTTAAGTAAGACGGCATGTATGTAAAAATTAAAATTTAGGTGTTTCATATATATATATATATTAGGAATTGAGTGGTATATATGTAATTATTCCTACTTAAAATTATATCATGACATTCTAATATTATTTTTTTATAGATGTTAAGTATAAAATTTTCGCGTCATTTTCCAAAAAATTAAAAAAAAATATTATGTCAGCAGCCGCGCAATGAAGGCAAAAACTTTTTATAATGGTATACATAAATTGATGTAATTATTTAAAGGGTTTTGGTAAGTGCATAATAAATTAATAATAATAAGATTATAATGCTCTAAGACTTAGAGGATGCCCACAAATGTTATTATGAAATTGCAGGTTCATGATCTGACGTGGCATATGATCATTCCGTACATTAAATTTTAATATAAACTAAAAAAATAAAATTTGAAAAAAAAAAAAAAAAACTTAAGGATAATGTGTAAATGAGCCGAACACGAGCTGAGCCCAACTTGTTTAAAAATGATATCGTTCTTTTTCATCTCATTTATATTTCAAAAAAAAAAAAATAATCGTGTTCGGCTCTCTTGCTTAATGAGTCGAACACGAGTTGTTCGCGAACAAATATTAGTTTTAACAACCCTAGTCAAGTATGCAGCCATTAGGGGTGTAAACGGTTGAGCCTAGACCTGTTAAAAAATATCATTATTCGTGTTCATCTTGTTTATATATGGAGCTTAAAAAATCTTTTCATGTCCGATTTGTTTGCTTGTTGAGCTGAACACAAGCTGTTCACGAACAATGAGCTATGTTGACAATTTTAGTCGCAAGGGAAAAAATTTAAATATTGTTACTTATATTAAAAAAATTATTTAAATAGAATTTAATATATTTTTTATTGCTATTTTTAATTAATAATTTTAAACCATTATAAATCTTTGTAGCCTTATAGTCAATTAAATAATCAAAAAATTAAATCTTTGTAGCCATATAGTCAATATATATAATTTAATTATTTCTAACAAAAACTAGCTAAACATAAACGAACAAAATTTTGTTCGTTTTCGGCTCATTTATATATCGAGGGCAAAAAATTTGTTCGTATTCAGCTTATTTGCTGTTTGCAAATAACGATCCATTTTGAAAACTCTATTTGAGGTCTGCCAAATGAAAATCTAGAATAGTTTTTTCTTTTCTTTTCTCTTCTTTCGAATGTTAACATGTTAGAATGGGTTCATTTTCTGTCCATCATTTTTTTTTTCAGAATTTCTATGTATGAAATTATCTGAAAATGTAAATATTCTTAATTTAGGAGAATTTTTATTTTGAACCAAATCACCTTCAATAAGGGATCCAAGGACTGCTCATGTGACTTATGAGTCATTGTATGGGTGTCAAAAATTGACCCAACAAGCCACACAACTCGAACTCGACACCAAAAAATCTTGGTTCGAGTTGATCTGAATATTTTCAAGTCGGGTTCGCGTCAGAGAACTCAACTCATTTATTATTCAGGTTGAGCTCAGGTCGACTCAATTTAGATCAGGTTATTTTTGGTTCGGACCTGAACCAGACCTGCTCACCCAAATTAACATCTCTAGGTGTCAAAACTTATCCTAACACACCAATACAACTCAAACTCTACTAAAATATTATGGGTTTGGGTTGACCCGAAAATTTTCAAATCGGGCTCGAGTCGAAGAATTCGGTCAGTTTATTATTCGGATTAGGTTTGGGTTGATTTAATTCGGGTCGGGTCATTTTCAGGTCGAATCCTAACCCGACCCGCCGACCCGAATTAGCACCCCTAGTCTTTTGAAACTGGTTCAGATTTGAATGGGTTTGAACCTAATTTGAACAAGGTTCAAATTGAATTTCAAATGTTATTTTGAATCTAATTATAATACCATGTACTTTAATCCAAATAATCTAAATATCAAGAAAACTCTTTCAATCCTCGCTCTCTCTTTCCCGTTGAACCAAGAGAGCAAGAGCCTTCGAATTTGAACATTTTTCTTTTGAGAATCTGTGTGAATTTAATTGCAAACTTACACAAACTACATATACAGGATCTTGAACAAGGGATTTTTAAGTTGAAAGACGAAACCACTAGGCCAATGTGACTCGTATATTCAAATGTTGAACATTGATTCAAAAGTGGGAAGATGAGAGACTCTCTGGGAAGATCATCTTCACTTTTTATCGTAGTGTTTTTAGTCTCCTCTTATTGCCACCTCTAAGAAAATAACAACCCAAATCAATTTTAGTGGCCTCCAAGCTCTTTTTGCATGGTATTATTGTCGTTTTAATTAAGATCATGACTTTTTCACCTCCAATAGATGATTGCTTTTGCATCCTCAGTATCATCCTTAACTTTTTTTTTTAATACAATTTTGATGGCTATATTCTAATTGTTTCATTTCCATCCCTATGAGAAGATTGATTCAACCATCCACGTGTGGCCTCTATGACCTTCTTTTTGTAACTATTTCGTTACTTTCAAATCATGTCATCTTGACCCAATGGAAAAGATTGATCCAACTTTCTTTTGAGAGATTTTTAGTAGTCGCCTCCCCGACGCATCATGTCTTCTTCTCATTTCCACCTCCATAGGATTGATTGAGACATCCTTAATTAGAGGTATTCACAACCTTTCAATGTTGCCTCTTCAACCATCTCAAGGTCAAGTCATATTTATTTCTATGAAAATGACTAATATGTCGTTTTCATCAAGAATAATTGCTATATCTCTCTTTTATCTAGTTAATCTTAATATCTTGCAACACATACTTACTATAGATTGAAGTTATTTCGACTAGGTGAGACTATAATAATTTTCTTTTTTTCTTATTGACTTGGTCTATTTTTTTCTATTATTATAATTCAAGCACCATTTATATATAAACAAATAAATTCTACTCATTAATGTAATTTTTAATTTATGAATATTTTTTTCAAAAATTAATAAAGTTGTGCTCATTAGCACTCCATTCATATACAACAATCAAATTACATAAGATATAGTTTTCCGCTCATCATTAATTGCGTGAGAGCTTGTATTAATGATATTCACCCTGGTTCATCTAGACTAAGGTAAGATTGTCTTTTATCCCCTTACATGTCTTGTATTGTCTGGTTGCTCTCTGCAGCCAACTTGAATGTAATCTTTCTTCTGAGGATTATATTGATATTAATTCGGATCATCAACAATTTAGTCATCCATTGTATGTTGATGGGTTAGCTTATTTCATGGATAGTCTCTCTTTCTAATTTGGACACTGTTACAATCTAATTTTTTGGATCTTGATAATCGTTAAGTCGAGAATGATAACTCCAAAAATTAGTTGGGGGAGAAATGAAGAAGAGAAACATAAATTGAGAAGAATAAATGATAATCTTAAGATGTTGTCAGTTCAAAAATTAGGAAAAGGGGATAAAATGAAATGAAATGAAGAGAAGAGAATTAAGCTTATCACATTTTTTAGTCCATTCATTTGATGTGTCTATTGGAGACAATTCAAATAATAAACGACAACTAATCTATTAATCATTAATCTAATGCAATATACTAAATTACAAGTCATATTCTAACTACTAAGCCCTACTCAACACTATTTTTTTAAGACATTCAATGACCCTATCACTCTAAGAGACTATATATTAATAATGTTAAAAGTGCATTTTTCTTCTCTCCCAATATGATGTTTTTTTTCTCTTCTAGTATGATTGAGGGTATGTTTTGGGCAGTTGCAACTTATTAAGAAATAACTGTAAAGTTACTAAAAAATAATCTAATGTTGCAAAAAGCTTCGGTGAATATTATAATTTTTTTTAAAAGTCAGTCCACAGCTAGAAAGTTACCACCGCATCTAGCAGAACCTGTGGGAAAACACTGATTTTAGCGGCAGCTATTTAAAGAAGTTGTGAAAATGCAGTTTATCCAAACGGGCAAAACCGTAGTGCGGAGCCGCACCGCCACCACACCGCTGCCCTAAACGGACCTTCTAAATCTTCTATCATTGAATACCAACTAAAAGTAGCTATGATAACTTTCAAGTTTACATATTTGGGGATTTTGGTCGCTCTAAACCAATTCCACCTTAACTAATTTTTGGCCTTTGCTCTATATGATTTCATAGAAGCTTGATGGTTGGAAAGCCAAAACATCTTCATTTGCTAAGGTCTATCAACTTCTCTTAAGACTTGCCATAAAATCACTAATAGATGTTATGCTTCGTTTATGCATAATGGTAATAAAAGCATATATTATTAAATTAAATTAAAAAAGAGTGACCCAATTTTAATAAAATACTCCATAGAAACTAGGAGAGACCGAATGCTCAAGTATTCATTGTTGCTCTTTTTCTCCTGTATTCTCCAAAATAATTCAATTCTTGTAGCATTGATCTTAATTCTACCTCTTGCAGTATGACAGACAGAAGCCAGGGGAGGTGCTGGAATCACCATAGTGCATAATAATAAGAGGCATTTACATACATACCACACAACTCTTTTGTATTTACACATCTAGCTTTCAAACATTTATATTTACATGCATATCACTCAAATCCTTAACAACATATAAGACTATCACTATAATTACCTTCTTAAAATTGAAAACACATGTTTATGCACATGTTTATGACGCCAATTAAGGGCGATATAAGTGTAAATATAAGACTTCGGGGGTTAGATGTACATAAAACAGTCTTTAAGACCGAGTCAACTAGAAAATTAATTCTAAAGGTTCAATTAATCCTCACTAGCTGTCACAATTAAACTGCAATATTCCTCTAACTAAACTAAACCAATACAAGAATATTATATGAATCAAATCCCAGTTTCAAGAATATTATATAAACCCACATACTTTCTAACTAATTACATATTTACCATATTGATATTTTTATTCAAACTTTATATGATCCAGCCAGTTAAGAAAATAGACGTATCTCTGTCAACATCACGCTCTTACATTTAAAAATAAGAAGATTTACATAAACATCATCACTGCACACGTATTTATTTACATATCTAACCCCTGCATTTTAATGTTTAAGGGATGTTTTTCACAAAATTTTCCCAGAAAGGCTATCGCACTACTGCTATATACCTCCGTGTCCTGTCATCCTTCTATGAAATACTCTCTGCGATCCATCTTCTCAGAGAAATAGAGAGGATGGCTTCATCAAAGTTTTCATTCTTTCTTCACCAACTGCGCTCTGTTTTCTTCATCTTCTTCTTCCTTTTGGCTACAGATGTTGCTGCGAGGACTGATCCTATTGAAGGTATGTTGCTTTAATTATCTACTTCTCTCTCTCTTTGTGACATGGCATGATTTATATAATAATATGACTATATTTATGAATGAATTAAATAGTTATTATCATGCTTATGATTATTCTAGCTGTCTGTAAGTAATTTATTTAAGCGGATGTTTGATTCTTATACCTTAAAATTCTCAAAAAAGTAGTTGCTTGGGAGATTTGGAGTCTTTGTGTTTTTGTAGAGTTCAATTAGTTAGGGTAAAGTTGGAGAGGCTGCGAAATATTGTGGGTGTTTTAAGGTAAATTCAATCAATTATAGAACTTTAAGAATAAGGTAGGCTGATAATTTTGATATGTTTTTATTGTATTGTATACCCGAAATACGTCTATAAGTATTTAGGGAAGGCTTACACATATCAGTAAGACATCAAAAATCCATGGGCTTTGAAACCCATATCAACAAGTCGAGCTGAGCTCATCTGTAGGAGTGGTCAAACTGAGCCACCTGTTGAACTACCAGATTAATCAGTGATAAATCCTTCAGTGGAAAAAATCATCGTTATATAACAATACATAAGTCCATTCTAATTTATGGTGCTGCCTAACACTCACATCGTGGACAGACGAGAAGGCTTCTCTCTCTCTCTATCTCTTAGTGCACGCATCCCGAAAATAGAGACCCTTTCTAGAAGCCATTCCCAACTTCCTAGGAATGCTAACAAAAAACTAGAGTGAGATACATCAGCTTAATTAAAATATCCATCTTTTTCTTCCATACATTCATCCTAAAAATAAGTTATTTGCAGTGTCGTAAGAACTCACGAATAATATGAGAGCCTACCTCCTAAAAGGATTCAGCAATCACGTAAAACATTATTTAAAAAAAAATACATAACCACCTTTGATTTTAATTGTTTTAAATAAAATATGCATAGTATTTTCAATAGAACTATAAAATACTTGAAATTGAGTAGAACTTCCTAAGTCAACAGATGTCTGTGATCTGCTTGGTTATTCTCTCATAGGAAAGCTAAATCAGCCACCGGTTAGTTACATACATATCACTCAATTCCAATGTATTTATATATCTAATATCTAATTTTTACATACATTCCATCTTACCTATGCAAAGATGTATTTCACTTATAGAAGTTTAAACATTGCACGTGCTTAATGGATTATACATACATATATATATATATATAATGTTGTTTCTAATTTTTCAACATTATTTGTGATCGCGTACGACAGTTTTGGCATTAATTTAATTAAAAGTTCTTGAACTGTAGTTTGCATTTAAGAACATGGGCGGCGATGATGTATAATTGACTTTAAAAAGCTTGTTTTTTTATATAGAAATATATGATGAAAATGAAAGTGAATATTCTGACGATAAGAATCTGATTAACTTAAGGTTGACCAAATCTGTTTTTAATAGGATAATAAGACATGTAAAAGAATGATTTACATGAATACCCCTCAATTTCTATGTATTTACATCAGATAATAAGCTTCAATTTTAATTTATCCTTTTACCTTATCTATGAATGAAAAATATATACTTCACTTTTTAGAAAATTGAAGCAGCGATATTTTTAATGTGATATGAAAGATTCAGGTGGTATAAATATAAAATACGGAGTTTTGCACTTTCATTCTAAAATAGAAACATCTTACCATAAACCTTATGATTTTCGTGCTTCGTATTAAGTCATATCTGATGTATAGTCGACATTCTATCCTGAAAACTTGCTTTGCAGATACCTGCCCCATGGTGAGTAGGTTTTGATCACATGGATTATTTGGAGTTGTGAGATGTAACACTCGGTGAGGTGACGAAGTCTTCAAATGACTCAATGAGATGGCTTTTGCCAAGTTTTCTCTGATATTTGGTTTCTGATTTTTGGGTGTCTCTACTCAACATTTGATACTCATACTTGTCTACCTGTATCGGGTCACTTTTAACTCTTATGATTGTTAGGCTTAAGCTTTTGGCAAACTTAAGCTGGGTAAAGGCCGATGAATATATAATATGAGCTTCAAATAAGAGATGGAGTACTCATCTGACTCATGAGTCAGTACTGCATAATTTTTTGATAAAAATTTTAAATGACTTATTATACAGTAAAATTGGGAATCTCATATGTTGTAGGAAAGATGTTGTAGCTTTCCTGTAGCCAATGATTTGGATAAAAAAAGTTTTTTGTATATGGTTAAGTGACTCGTATAATTCAAGCAATTAAGGGAAGCACTTGCAAGGCAAACCCATCTCTGCCTACAACTTTTAAATTAGAATGTAAGGGAGGTTGGAGTCATACAACATCAATTTGTTCATAGTTCATGAAATCTGATATAATATCCAATCAAATTTAACAGTATCTTAGAAATTATCTTCATCTTCAATGATATGCATAAAAATAAATGCAAACCTCTTGAGCAGTTCCTCTAATACATATAGATCAATGATCTACAATATTGACTGAAAATGTCATCTAAGATAATAATGCATTCTCCATAAGTTTTTTAGTGGTGTCATAAATGATTTCATATTAGGTAACATAAAATATTTATGTGCTATTAAACCATTAAATTATAGTGAGTAATACAATGTGGGGACATCATTACAAGCTTATGCCATCAATAGATTAATTAAATTGTTGCCTTAATATTTACCAGCACCATGGGTGTATTTAATTATAAAATATATGGTACAATTCTACTATCACTCATGTCTTCCTCCTTGGATTTATCTTCTAATCCTACTAATCAAAGCTTGAAGAAACATAACAATTTGTTCTTGACAAGGCAAAGGAGATCAATGGCGCATTAATCCAAGAGCTTATGCATCTTAACAAATAAATCCCTAAAACTTCTAGTCAAACAATTGATATTATTATTTTGATGATCTATTAATTTTATTTCATTTATAAGCATAAGAATAAAAGATAGACAAACACCTCATGCCTCCTTCACTATAAAACATATACATATAGTAGTAAGACATGGCTTAAAATTCAATTCTTTGGAGTACATCACCTTTAACATCAAAAGTAATCACAAAATCATTGCCAATAATCTCCATGATATCCTCCTTCTGTCATACCCAATCGTAGCATGAATGGCCACGTCAAATGATACAGAGCAACTCATTATCCTCTTAATCATCATACATAATTGTGGCACAATCCACATAACTTTAAAGCTTTCTCTCCAACAAACTGTATATTTTTTTCTCTGGCTATGTTATGATGTTCATTACTGCAATAATATGAGTTAAGACATTCTTCTTCATGGCAGCGTCTTCAACCCTTTGAAGCCCTTCATTATAATAACATATCATATAAGCATCCAATGAATGTTTTTTCATCTAAACTAGATAAATATCTCAATAAAAATAAACTTATGCTTATCATGGTTGAGTAGAATACCATCTATAAACTATCATAATGAGATTGATGGCTGAGTAGTTAAGCATGCATGTAGACATACATACATGTAGATAGCATGGTTGATGTCTAATGATGTGATCGAATTGACGTGGCAGCACGAGCAGTGAACACGATATTGAATAGATGGAGGAAGTCGGCATCATCATCATGGAACATAAGCGGCGATCTATGCAGCGGCATCGCTATAGACTCCACCCCCACGGGTGGCTCCTTCAACCCTGGCATCAAATGTGATTGCTCCTCCAATGACTCGCTCTGCCACGTTACCGAATTGTACGCTCCCCCTCTATCTCACTAGGCAAAAATCACATCTAAATTATATGAAATTTAAAATTAATTTATTTTATTCTCTACTCAGCAAAGTGTATGCACTGGATGCAATCGGCACATTCCCTGAGGAGCTCAGCAACCTCACGTATCTTACGAACGTGTAAAGTCAAAATTTTCAGATTTTTGAAATTTCTTCATAACAAATATTCTAATTCAATTTTTTTACCGAATTATATTTCCTATTTTCATTGCTTTTATAGGAATTTTGCTCAGAACTATTTGACCGGGCCATTGCCTGCTTTTATAGGAAACTTAGCAGGTCTCCAATACCTGTAAGAGCAAATCATCAACGGAAAACATCTATCAATCTATCCATGTATATATATAATCTCCAATTATTTATATGAGATCATTTTAGCCTCAGAGTTTATAGAAGTCTTAAAATAATCCAAAACTCTTAAATTGGAGCTAAAAGAATTCTGATGAAGGATTCTTAGAGCCCAATTTCGACATAGTTGGAAATTATTTTGATATTTCTATAAACTCTGGGAATGAGATGACCGAGTAAATAGTTGGAGGTTATTTTGATATTTTATTTTATAAATGTACACACCCACACAGACACTTGATACGAGCTTCATTAATTTCTTGATGGATATTAATTTTATTATGAAACTGTAAATAGGACTTTTGGAACTAATGCGTTGTCTGGACCTATTCCTAAAGAGCTCGGGAAACTTAAAAATCTTATTGTGCTGTAAGAATTCTTTCCCTTCTTAGAGTTCAGATGGCACTTTTTTTTATTCTAAAACTATTTAATTTGTGTTTTTATAGCTTTATATATATATATATATATATTTGGTAGAAGGAGCATCATACGGCTCCCTACATGTTAATCACAAAAAGAAATACAGGAAGAATATGTTGGGATATGTCCCCAGTCTAAAAATCCAACAAGTTAAAAACAACTCACTCTTAAGGGGCCGTATATATATATATATATATATATATATATATATATAACAATAGAAAACCCCAATATATATATAACAATAAGCTCAGAACTAGTTAGTTATCCTAAGGTGGATATATATATATATATTTATGTTTAGCCTTTCTGTATTGGCATTAGAAATGGTGTACATTCAGCTGATTTCAATTATTATTTTCTGGCGTGAAGATACAGCATTTAAAAATGCCGTTGGGAGGAAGCAAAAACAATAAAAATTTAATTAACAGGATTTCTGTCTCAAGCAGATAAACTAATGACAAGGACGAATTGATTTATTTTATTAATTTAATCTTACTTTTTGATAGAGGCATGGGGGCAAACAACTTCAGTGGGACTATTCCACCAGAGTTTGGGGACCTAAGCAGCCTACAACAATGGTTAAATTTAATAATCAAATATTTTTTGTTCGCTCTTCCTGTCAATATTTGGAGCGATATTATGTGCGGAATCCACACATACGGACTGGTGATATTTCATCACAATACCATCAAATCCGCACCTATCTTGTCCGCACCTAATATATTTTCCAGTATTTAGGGATATCAGATGGTAAAGTCTTCAATTTTCTAAGATTATATATGGTTTATTGTGCAATGCTCAGGTACTTAGATAGTTCTGGACTAAGTGGTGAGCTCCCAACTTCTCTATCTAACCTTACCTCCTTGCAGATTTTGTAAGTTTGATGTGCGCTAAAATCTTGAGTTTATGAAATTTGATTCTTATCTCATAATGATTATTGATTCAGGTGGGCTTCAGACAATAATTTCACAGGCAAAATACCAGAATTCATTGGGACTTTCACAAGCCTAAACGATTTGTAAGTTTACCTTTTTTGCAGCACTCGAACATGCAGCACATTGATTAGAAACCAAATGAAGAATCTCAAAGTTTCGGACTTAATTGCCCGCCCTGCAGCAAATAAAATAAATAAATAAATAAAAAATCATTCAATATATAATAGAAATTTCTACAAAATAAAAAAGAGGTACTCAATACTAAATGGTGTTTTGATAGGAGAATACAAGGAAACTCCTTCAATGGTCCAATCCCTTCAAGCTTTTCTAGTCTCTACAATCTTAAGGATTTGTAAGTATTTCCACTTTTCACCAAATACTGTAAAATTCATTGATTATGTATTAATACTGTATGATCTATTCCCAGACGAATAGGAGACATAATAGATGGAAATTCTTCACTCTCATTTATTAGCAATATGACATCTCTAAGCACACTGTAAGGCTTGTTGTTCCAAATCAATAATCTCTACACATTGTTATTATTATTTATTTTTGGAATATAGCTATGACAATGTATTAATTTAACTTTATGCAGGATCTTAAGAAATGCCAAGATTTCTGATGTTCTTCCATCAAACTTTGCGAAATATAAAAGTTTAATGAATTTGTAAATTTTTCTCTCTTCATATATAACGATGCAGCACTAATTTCTTCAATGCAATTTGATTTTTTTTTTTTTTGGTGGTCTTACAAAGGGATTTGAGCGCTTCAACTACATTACTGGCAATGTTCCACAGTCTCTTCTCAACTTGAGCTCTCTGAAACTATTGTGCGAAATGCCTTCTTCAATGCCCCAAAACTTTCAGTTATATTGTTTAGTAGTATAAGGATAACTTATGTTTTGTTATATTGTTTCCCTTTACAGATTCCTTGGGAACAACAGCATAACAGGAAGCTTACCAGGAACAAAGAGCACAGGACTCAATACTGTGTAAGTATGAAAGTCCTTCAGGGCATAATTAATCACTAAAAAGACAATTCTAAATAATTTTGCTGACTATATTAGCTAGGGAAATTTTCTTACTTCAGTGAAATCTAGCTAAGTTAATGCTCCTTGATGAAATGTGTTTTTTTTTAAAAAAAATCAGTTTCTTGTAATTCTGCAGAGATCTATCATACAATCAACTGTCAGGCAGCTTTCCATCTTGGGTCAGCGATCCAAACATAAAGCTGTAAGTTGTAGAAAACAAATTATATGATCATTTATATAGGAGAGAAAATTATAGTGACTAACATCTTAACTGATTGACATATTAGTACAAGCATATATATGCATATATAGTTTGACCTGTGGGAGTTCAATAGATTTGAGGCAATATATATATATATATATATATATATATAGACTATAGAAGAAAAGATTAAAAAATATTAAACATAATAATATTCTTCAATAAATAAAAAGATTAAATAATAATAATAATAATAAAATAAATAAATAAGTATGATTATTCACTATAAATGATTAGTACATATGAAATTTACATATGATAACACTCCATGGAAAATTCAATACGACATTAAAATATTTCAACTTGAGTGTGAAAATATAACATTCATAGATGGAATAGTAAAAGGTTTTGTTGTCAACAGATTATGAGTTTTATAAGAGGAGTATAACCTCTAGGTGGACAGGGTAGTGACAAAATAAGATACTCAAACGGATGTATAGATAGAGAGCATCTGCGGAGATATCAATGGAGAGTGAAAACAAAAAGTATCATTGATGAACAGTATGATAGTGATAAAAGGTATGGAGAACAAGGAAATCACAAAGATATACAAATCTATCAAAAATAGAGGTCTACTGCCCCAGTGGTCAAGGATAGAGATAACAACTTTGACAGGAAGACAAATTGAGAAAAGAAAGATGGGAGAACTGTCAAAATTTATACGTAATAGGTGCAAATCTAGTAATGTAGCTCTAATATCAAGTTTGAAGTGAGAGAATTATAGAGGAGTACACACACACACACACACACACATATATATATATATAT